CAAACCAGCCATCCCTGCTTTTGTCAAGTTGGTTTGCTTCCCAAATATGTAACCTTGCTGTTTCTCCTGGTAGCAAAAGCATATCTCTCAGCATGAGGCTGGAATAATTACTGTGAAAACAAGACTTTAAGCCTGTGAGCTTAACCATTTCGAAATGCTGCCCTTCCTATCTACCTCCCAAATGTCGTCACTCATTCTTGCTGTGGGTCAGACTTGCTCTTTTCCACAAGAAGTTTTTTTTTCCAGAACCCAGTTGTTTTTCTGCAGCTACCACATCCTTAGATCACCTTCTCCTACAGAAGAGTTTGCTGCTAAAAATCTGTTCCCACTTCTATATGGAAAGTGCTGGCAGTCCATCTGCAGTTTGAAGGAAGCTGCAGTTATTGTCTTGACAGTATCACTTGTGCAACTTGTGATGGTACCTTGTGTCTCACGTATACTTGGTCTGGGGACATGTGGGGAGACAGTAAAGTGAACTGAATTTGTTGAGGTATGTGTAGACCTGAAGTCTCTGTCCTATTGTAGTTGATTACAGATTTCCCTGGTGCTTATTTTTTTTTGCTCTCTGTAATCTTCTAGCACTAGACATCATAATCTAAGTTTTAAGATTCACTTGGACCCATTTAGTCTGGCATCCTTGTTACTGTTGCGGCAGCTGTTGTGGGTTTAAGATATAAGCAGTGAAGCTTCCAGCTCTTTTCCTTTGAAAGCTCTTCCATGTGGGAGCAGTTCTCAGAGGCAGAAAAGTGGGCTGCTGAAATTGCTGATGCTCAGTGACTGGGAAATCACTGAGCATCAGCACTGGTTATGCACTGGAATACAGGAGGAAGGTTCCTGCCTGGCAGGATGTGCTGGCTGGTGGATTCCCAGCTGATTGCTGCAGCTACCCCAAAGCTCAGTGCATGCATGTTCCTTCCCTGTCCTCCTGCAGCGCTCCTCCACATGGGAGCAGGGGAAGGGAGATGATCTGGGTGTTGCTGGAAAGCCAGGCTGTTCTAGCAGCTCCCTGTGCATAGGGAAGAGATGACAACTAGACCAGAAATGAACTGGTGATGACCTGGGCTGTGACACCTGCTGAGCCATGAGGAATGCAACAGGATAAACCAGGAGCTGGGCACTTCAGCTCCCGAGAGCTCCTTGGAAAAGCATTCTGTCTTCCTATGCCAGTCTGAACCTCCCCCTGTGATGGTGTCACCCCTCCTCTCTGCAGGAACCTCCGACTGCGTTTTCTGCCTGGATAAAGGATGCTGGGTGCCCTTTACTGGACGTGTGGGAGTAGGCAGAGTGCTTATGCAGCAGCCTCAGCCTGCCCGACCTTGGCGTCGGTTGCCATAGAGCATGTTTCCTCTCTGGAGGGCTGGGCGCTGAGTGTAGACCTACCAGCACTGGGGAGAGCTAGAAATAAGGCTCTGTAGGGAAGAATTGTCACTTTCCAGGGACAATAAGTCATCTCCCACCAGTGTTTGTTGTTTTTCTTTGCTGTGCAGAATGTAGCAGCATTTAAGTGACTTATCTGCAGTCTTCTCTTTGTCTTGTTGGCACTTGGAAGTGAACAGCCCATGTGTTGTTCTCAGGTTTTGTACCCTGTGTCCCGCCTGGACAGTCCCCTGTTCACCCTTGAACACTGGAATTGTGTTTGGTACCTAGCAGAGCTCTGCTTCTAGGATGTCATCCTACAGGAGAAAGACCAGGGTTGTGTAGAGGTGTTTGCACAGCTAATGGGAGAAAAGGAGCCTGTACTGGGATGACTTAAGGATCTGAGGATGTAGTTGCAGGGTAGGATGAGTCTGTGCTGTCAGTCAGGACAGTTTGATTATTTGCCCTTCTCAGACAGTCTGAAATCTTTACAGTTCTGAAAAACAAGCTGATCATGGGGACTGTTAAATGCTCAAAGCTTTTTCTGCTGGAAGGGCTGAAGAGAGACAGGGTGTTGCTGGAGTAGAGGCGCTGGTGTTTTAACACACAGCTCGGCGATTTCTCAGCTGAGAAGCAGTTCTGTGTACAGTGGAATTAATGAGGCTGATTTTCTATGGATCTGGGTCTTGTCTGACTCTGTTATCTAGCAAGGTGCAAGCTTTGGTGGCTTTTTATAATAATCTGCAACATGTTCCTCTTCCCAGTGCATTTGTATTGTACTTTTTAAAGCTGACAGCAAGATCTCTGTGTGGGCACAAATTATGCTTCCATGAGAACTGTCAGCGTTTCACAGATGACCCAGTACACAGCGGGACAGATGAAGAGGCACTCGTGCTGCACAGCTGTGTGAACCTCAGGGCAGAGCTCTAGTTCTGCTGGATGCTGGGTGTGAGGCTGCTCCTGGGGATCTCCTCGTGTTCCAAGCATTGCCTGTGCTCCAGATGACTCTCGCTTCCCAATTGCCCTGTTTCTGGATCTGGGACTGTTTCCTTTATGAGCTGAAACCAGTACCAGGGCCATTTCACCCTTTAGCAGTTGTTACCTTGGCTTCTGTGAAAGCAGGTAGGTGCCTGTTGAGCCTTCCTAGGAGGCTGTCTGGACCCATTTCAGAGCAGGACAATGGTGCTTTGCCAAATGTGGCAGCACGAGCATCCTTTGAGCTACCAGCCTCTTCTTCTGGAGCTGGGAATCATTGCACATCTCTTCCTGAATTGTGCCTACCCACAGCAGTCTGCCTTAGGCAGGGCGTCCCTTGTTGCTTTATCCCTCAATTGCTCTCCCAGGTGTGCTTTGAAGGTGGGAAGAAGGATAACCAGGGGAATTATGAACCAGAATTCTTAGCTGCCAGTTCCTGCAGCATCAGTTTGGAAAATGGGATATGAGTGGCAGCCAACTCTCTACAGACCCATTCTTTTCTTCAGAACAGGAGACTATGCTCTAAGTCTTGATCTTAGTGAGGTTTTTCATGCTATTCTTGTCATCTGGTCTTTGCTACAGCAAACTGGGAAATGTCACAGTCCAGGTGAGATCCTTCAGTGCACAGGGTAAGTGCACGTGGAGCATGGCAGGTACCCAGAAGTGAGGGACACAGTGAATTATGACTGAGGGCTGGTGCTGGATCATGGAGTAAATGTGAAGTCGGCATTGTGACTCTGGGGTAGGTAGGGAAGGACTCAGCTCTTGCTTAAAGGTATGAACAGAAACCCAGTCTTCAAGAAACATGAGTGCTGGGTTCAGTTCTCGGCCCCTCACTACAAGAAGGACATGGAGGTGCTGGAGTGTGTCCAGAGAAGGGCAATGGAGCTGGGGAAGGTGCTGGAGAACAAGGGTGATAAGGATCGGCTGAGGGAACTGGGGTTGTTTAGGAGAAAAGGAGGCTGAGGGGAGACCTTATCACTGTCTGCAACTGCCTGAAAGGAGGGTGTAGAGGTGGGGGTCGGTCTGTTCAACCAAGAACAAGAGGAAATGGCCTCACGTTGCACCAAGGGCAGTTTAGATTGGATATGAGGAAGAATTTCCTTCCTGAAAGGGTTCTCAGGCATTGGAAGGGGTTGCCCAGGGCAGTGGTGGAGTCCCCATCCCTGGAGGGATTGAAGAGTCGTGTAGACATAGTGCTGAGGGACATGGGTTAGTCGGGGACTTGTCAGTGTGAGGTTAATGATTGGTCGATGATCTTAAAGGTCTTTTCCAGTCAAGGTAATTCTGTGGTTCTGTGCCCTGTTGAGGCTCAGTAAGGTCTCTGTTGTGTGTTGAGATTTTGCTGCCCTTCCTGAGGGGTGGATGTGCATCACTGGAACAGAAACCAAATTGGATGCCCCCTCCCTGGAAGTGTTCAAGGCCAGGCTGGATGAGGCTTTGAGCAACCTGGTCTAGTGGAAGGTGTCCCTGCTGGTGGCAGGGGGGTTGGAACTGGATGATCTTTAAGGTCCCTTCCAACCCAAACCAGTCTGTGATTCTGTGAAACTGAGAGGAGAGCTCAGGCCTATGGAGTGACCATAGTGAGGTGGGTGGTGGCTTTCCTGCAGTCACTCAGTGATGTGAAGAGGCTGCTGGGGTGGGACAGCTGGGGAAGAGGCTGAAAGAGGGTTAGATGAGCGAGTCATGGAGTGGCCAGGGTACTGTCAGACTGCTAGAAGGGGTCTTGCCTGCTTCTGATGTCTCTCCCCCTCTTGCCTGCTGTGTTTCCCCAGCTCCTGGATTTTCTATGCAGGAATCTCGCAGCCACACTGACATGGTGGGTTGTAGCACTTGATGTCCCTGTGCAAAGGCAGTAGCTTGGTACTCTGCTGTTGTATATCCAAGGGGAAGGGGACAGGGAAGGAGCACAGAGCCCCGGTGCCATCCTGAGGAGTCCTTGGGCTGGCAGCAGGGCGAGTGAAGCTGGAAGAGCTGTTAGTGTTTGGAGCTGACACCCACGCAGGGGTTACACTGGTGTGACTGTGGCGGTTGGTGTGTGTAAGCTTTCCCACACAGGCTGGTTCAGTTCATGCTGGTGCTGTTGTGTCCCTTGTCACCACAATGTCCGTTCTGTGCTGGGGCTGGGATTGTCAGGGTGTGGTCTTCTGGTCAGGGAAATTTTTGTTTGGCCCAGCCACTTGTCTGAGAGATGCTCTTCCAGGAGATTTCCCATTGAGGATGCAGAAAGCTTTGAGCTGGCATCCCTCTGCTTTCTGTTCCCTTTCTCCTGCAGTCAGAAGAGGTGTTGAGCCCTGACAGCCTCCTTGCATTAGTGCTCTGTGGGCAGGAGGTGGACACGTTGCGACCCCAGCTGCCAGCTACAAATCTCTGCTCTGAAATGGAAGCTAAATCAGCTTTCCTTGCTGCTGGCAGTGTGGGGTGCTGGAGGTCAGCACTGATTCTAGCCTTTTTCTGCTGTCCATGTGTGCCACCTGCACTCCATGCCACAGAAGTGGGGACACGTGCCCTGACAGCTGCCAAAGGGAGAGGGGAAGGGCTTAGTGTGGGCAGCCAGTTGAACACCGTCTCTGGCTGCTTGAAGGAGGCTGTGACACGTGTCTGGTCGTGGCTAGCTGAAACAGCACCGAGGCACTCAGGTTTTGTCTTTCTTTCTGTGTAAGGCTGCAGGAGCAGGACTATGTCCACCATGGTGTACCCAAGGGAGGAGAAACTGGACAAGCTGAGCCAAGAGGAGATCATTTCCAACACCAAGCTGGTGATGCAAGGGCTAGAGGCACTCAAGAATGAACACAATTCCATCCTGCACAGCTTGCTGGAGACCATCAAGTGCCTGAAGAAAGATGAAGAAGCCAATCTCGTGCATGAGAAATCCAACCTGCTCCGCAAGTCAGTGGAGATGATTGAACTGGGGCTTGGAGAAGCTCAGGTGAGAATGGTGGTTGCCCCCCCAGGTGTTATCCAGGGTGGAGGGGAAGGTGGGCATGTGGCCATTTCCCGTAAGCTGTAGGGGCAGGGAGGGGCTGAGCGTAGAAGGCCAGCATGACCCTGAGGGTGGGCCCTAAGCGTGCACGTGAGGGAGATACAAGATGGTGACAGTTACTGACTGGGACTCTTGACAAGGTGATGATGGCGTTGTCCAACCACCTGAACGCTGTGGAGTCGGAGAAGCAGAAGCTGCGCGCCCAGGTGCGGAGGCTGTGCCAGGAGAACCAGTGGCTGCGCGACGAGCTTGCCAACACCCAGCAGAAACTGCAGCGCAGTGAACAAACCGTGGCTCAGCTGGAGGAGGAGAAGAAACACCTTGAGTTCATGAACCAGCTGAAGAAGTATGATGAGGATGTCTCCCCTTCGGTATGTTCTTGTCCTGTTGAGCAGCCACCTTTGGGGGTGGGAGAGTTTGGACCAGCAGGATTGCCTATGTGTGATAGCATTGCCCTGGATTTTGCTCCTTCCCAGTCACCGTGCACAGCACTGCCTGTAGCTAAAGGGAGCTTCCATGGGGCAGGGTCTCTGGAAGAACATGGAGCAGCCTGACAGGATGCATTGGGGGAATTTGGCTTTATTAGTTTTGTTGGATGGGGGAAAGATGGTGGCAGAGACAACGGGGGAAGTTGAGGGTGTTGGTGGGCTGCAGCAGGGAGGAGGGGTTGGTGTCTGTCTTAGCCCACGCTGGTGCTGTCTTCTCTGAGAACCAACGGTGTTGTGATTCCCATCCTCTCAGGAGGAGAAGGAGGGTGACTCTGCCAAGGACTCTCTGGATGATCTGTTCCCAAATGAGGAGGAGGAGCACGGTCCTGGATGTAAGTGTTTGCTCATGCATGGTTGCTGGCTGCCTCTGTTCAGGCCTGCTGTGCCAACCGTGCCCCTGTTTTATTCCTCTGTGCCTGCAGTGCCCCACCAGCACAGCAGTGCAGTGGCAGCTGCCCAGCAGGGAGGCTATGAGATTCCTGCACGCCTGCGCACCCTCCACAACCTGGTCATCCAGTACGCATCACAGGGGCGCTATGAGGTGGCTGTGCCACTCTGCAAGCAGGCGCTGGAGGACCTAGAGAAGACATCGGGTCATGATCACCCTGACGTGGCCACCATGCTGAACATCCTGGCGCTGGTGTACAGGTGAGCATGGTAGGGAGGGCAGGACTGGACGAGGAGAGCTTTCTACCTCTCCCAATTACCAGGGCAGCACACTCTGGGGACAAGACACTCCCCCAGCTTCCAAGGGTTTGCCTTTCAAAAAGGTTTTGGCACAGATGAGGTATTGGGGCCATCAGACTCCCTGATATAACTAGGGACTGGCTAAGGTAGGGAGGAATGGAGAAATGAAAGGGCTGTCGGGGCTGGATCTGTGTGGAAGGAGGACTGTTGTTTGCAGGTCTGCTTGCCATGGCCTATGATGTCCAAATCCTGAATAACTGGTTGGCTTTGCACTGCAGGGATCAGAATAAATACAAAGAGGCAGCACACCTCTTGAACGATGCTCTCTCCATCCGTGAGAAGACTCTGGGCAAAGACCACCCAGCGGTGAGTGTCTCCCTCCTCTTTCGGTCGCTTCCCTTGACCTGTGGGTGCTGCAGGGGGCTAGAATGGTGCCCTCCCTTATGGTGTGTCTGCAGCTGGACTGCCAAGGACAGCCGTGTGCCCTGTGATGCGAGGGGCGCTGTTCACGTGGTGTGGGGCTCTGCTTTACTGCTTCAGTATTTCTTTCTGTCTTGTTCAGTATGGCCTGTCAGGAGTTGGCTTCTTCTGGATCCTGTGATGTAGGCAGGGTAGCCTTCTGCCTCTGGACACCTTCTCTTCAGAAGCAGCTGTACTGCAGGCACGAAGGAAATGGGACAGTCACTGCTTGCACACCTTGTTTGGTCCCACTGGATTCTGCTTTGTTTCATGGAGAAGCTTTTGTCTCTGCAGGTGGCAGCAACCTTGAACAATCTGGCCGTTCTCTACGGCAAGAGAGGGAAGTACAAAGAAGCAGAACCACTGTGTAAGCGAGCCCTGGAGATCCGTGAGAAGGTACTGGTCTCCTGTGCTCTCCTTCCTTCCAGCCCTGCCTGAGGGTTTCCCCCATTACCTCTCTGCACCTGGGAGATCCAGGACCTACCTACTCTCTTTGGCTGCTGATTCTGCCACCATCTTTTCCTGTCTTTCTGGTGTTTGCAGCCTTGGAGAGGTCTGCCAGGAGGTGGAAGCTGGGATTTCTCCTCTTTACCTCCCTGGTCCTTGCCTCCTGTCTGACATAGGCATGTTCTGGAGGGACTACAGTGTCTACTAACTCCAGGAGTCCACTGCAATCTTCAAGCATTGACTTTTTGTGGCTTCTCTTCTTTTATTTACCCAGGTCCTAGGCAAAGACCATCCTGATGTAGCCAAGCAGCTGAACAATCTAGCCCTACTGTGCCAGAACCAGGGCAAGTATGATGAGGTGGAGTACTATTACTGCCGGGCCCTGGAGATCTATGAGAGCTGCCTGGGTCCTGATGACCCCAACGTGGCCAAGACCAAGAACAACCTGGTGAGACCCTGGGGAAAGGCCATGTGGGGATGGGGAGTGGTGCCATGGGAGAGGTGAGCATTGCCTGGTGCTTGAAGAAGACAGCTGCAAGAGGGGGACAGAGTTAATCTGTGTTGCTCAGTGGGGCTGAAGCTGTTTTCTTGGTTGCAGGCCTCCTGTTACCTGAAGCAAGGCAAATACAAAGATGCAGAGGTGCTGTATAAGGAGATCCTTACCCGTGCTCACGTGAAGGAGTTTGGCTCTGTCGATGGTTTGTACAGCAGAAGCTGTTGGGGCTCGGAAAGGGTTTGCAATGTGGTCTCCTGGCTCTCAGCTTGGGCTTGGCTGGTTCTGGTATCCCCCTGGCAGAGGGATGAGATACCTTTCAGGGCCCCTGCTTTGGGCAGCCCTTGAGACACTGCCATTCTAGTGTGTTATGCTGCTCCACCTCTGCTCTCAGAAGGGGTCTTGGGCAGCTCTGGCTGTCAGTCTTTACTGGCTTGGGAATAGTTGTGGCTAAAAGGGGGATCAGTGAGTAGCACAGTCACTCCCAGGCAAAGGCTGAGGTTTCTCCTCTACACCTGGCACAGATATTCCTCCATGAGAGGACTTGCTCCTTCCTTCCCCTGTCTTTGGGGGACTTTCTTGGGGCTCTGACCCAGGGACCAGGGAGATCTGGAAGCCTTGTCACTCCCTTCTGGAGAGCTGCTGGCTCTGGGGACAGAGTGCTGGGCTGTGCAGGAGGCAGAGCCCCAATGAAGGTGGCAGAGCAACAGGGTGAGGCGGTGAGTGGAGCTGTCTCATGTTCTTCCCCACACAGATGAACACAAGCCAATCTGGATGCATGCAGAGGAGAGAGAGGAAATGAGCAAGGTGAGTTTGAGCTGGTGGTGCTGCCTGTTGATAGCAGCAAGAGCCCTGGGAGGGGAAGGACACCTATGAACTTTGATCCTCTCTTTTCACAGCCAGACCCTCCTTCCTGCACTCTGAAGATCTGCCATGGCCACTGATGAAGGCCAGGAGGGGTCTGGAGAGTGGGCGAGAGTGGCCTCTGCCTGGGGCAGCAGGGAGGGAAGTCCCATCAGAGAGCTTGATGTTTTTCCTGGGACAGGGGGTTGTTCAGCTTCTCAGCCATGGCTGCACATTCTCTTTCTCTACTTTAGTGATCCCTCTAGGGCACGTGGATGTTGGAAGATGGTGGATGGCAGAGGGTTGTGCTGCAGAGCCTTGGCACTCTATTCCAAAGAGCTGCTTGTACCCAGAGCACAGCCTGCTTCTGAAGCAGCCCTAAGGCTGCCTGGGCAAAAGTGGAGGTCAGGAAGAAACTGCTGCTGTCACTTTGCTTAGGAAACAGAGCCAAACCTCCTGAAAAAGATCTCTGCACAGGGTGGGCCCTAGCTGTTCTGTGTCCCAGCTGGCCCCTGCAAGAGGGTAGACATGGGTAGTGCTTGCCCTGGACAAGGCTGAGAGGCAAAGCAGCTGTTGCTCCTGTTGCCCAGGCTCAGCTGGTAAATGCAGCAGAGTCCCGTCTCTGCTCTTCCCAAGCCTAAGACCTCACCTGCTTTTTGGCAGGTGGGTGAATCAGGAGAATGAAGGGTCTAGTCTAGTCATGTAGCTGCAGTTGAGCAGATGCTGTCCCTCTCCTTTTCCTCTGCCCTCAGAGCAGGCTCCAGCCCTAGCTAGGCTTGGACAGCAGGCTGGCAGGATTGGCTTAGTGACTTATCAGTCCTAAGAGCAGGGCACTAGCAGCTGCCTCCCACCAGCATGCTGTGTTGTCCCATTGAACCACTCTGCGCGGTCCCCAGTGCAAGTCAGTGCTCAGCTCCACCTTGCACTGCTCTGGTTGCTGCCCTACAAAGACTGTGCTGCAAAGAAATTACACTTGCTGCAGCACCATCCTATGCAGGAGAAATCACAGCTGGAGTAGAGGCCAGGCTCCTCTTGTGCCCCCTGGGACTGAGACACTTCTGATGGTAACTTTGGAGAATTAAGAGGTCAAATGTAGATAGTTGTAGTGTGGAGCTGTGCTCCAGATAATGTAAGCTTTGCTCAGGGACCTACAGTTGGAGTGAGATCAGTTTTACAGCCTGGGACAAGGGCTGAGCCTCTTCCCATGCCCCTGGGTCTCCTGTCTCCATGGCATGGTTGGCACAGCCTTCTTGGCCAGGCAGCAGTAAGCACAGATCTGCTTGTACTGCTGCCCCAGGGGCTGGGGCTGCTGCCCTCTGCTTTGTGCTGTGTTTCTACATCTGCTATTAAAAAACATCAAACCCCTTTTGCACAGCTTCACTTCTTTTTTTCTTTTTTTTTTTCTTTTTCTTTTTTTTACCCCCCTCACCCCTCTTCCCTTCTGCTCTCAGTGGCAGTGGGGGGGGCTGGCTTGTGCCAGCAGCAGGGCCTTGGGTACAGCTGTCAGCCCTGGCCTGTGAGCCTGAATCCAGGGGATTTGACACTTTTCCCCTTGGGTTCAGCTGCCCTAAGAGGGCAGGGTTTCAGAGGTGTTTTGAGTCCTGAGCTCTCCTGTCCCTTGGGCCTGCCCAGACTGTGCAGGGTGTAGCACAAGGAAACCCACATGTGCCTATGGCTCAGGGAGGCTCCAGCATGTGGAGTAAAGACCTGAAAAGTGCTGTGGGACCGAGTAATACAAATGGTCCATGTGAGGACAACTTCTGGGCTAGAGCCCTTGAGCGAGGGAAACTCCTGCTGTGGAGCAGTGGCCCCCTGCACCTGCTTGGTGAGAGAAGCCCTGCTGGGCTTGGGGCCGAGCTGGGTGCTTCCTGCCCAGCCCATGTGTCCTGTGGGTGCAGAGCCAGGGGCTTGGCACACCCCAAGCACTCTCCATGCACCGTGTGTGGATGGGCAGCCCTGCTCCTGCAGCAGTGGTGATTCCTGCCTGCAGGTGCCATGGTCCCTACTGAGCCAGGGCAATGCTGGCTTAGCAGCTAATGCTCTGCAGAGTGGGTTGTCCTGGCCCTACATCTTTCTCCTTGAGCATCAAGCTCTGCCCCATCTCCTGTTGCTCTGGCCAGCAGCCTCTTTGTTCCTGGCTGTGGCAGGGCCAGCCAGCTTTGGAATGCAAAGTTTGGGCATGGAGAGGAGACAGCTAGCTGAGCTGACCTGACCTGCTGTGGGGCAGGCCTGACCTTGCAGGTAGAAGGTTTAGATGGTTGGTGGCTGGTTGATTCCTTTGCTAGCCACAGCTGAGGGTTTTAGTGCCCACACTGCCTGACGTGCCTATGGGGTTTTTGTTGGTTGGGTTTGGGGTTTTTTTCTTCCTTTTGCATGATGTGGGGAGTGGGGTGTTGTGTCCTCCGGAGCACTGTGAGGATGGGTTGTGTTGTCTTTGCTGCCTTTGATACCATGGAAAGGGAAAGGAGGTGGGATTATGCCCCTTGCTGGGGTGGGGTCATGGCTTCTATGTGTGGTCCAGATCTCTTGCAGCAAACAGGCTTCCAGCTTTCCCTCCAGGAACCTGCTGGGCTTCATCACCACATTTGCACATTGCGTTTCCAAAAGCTTGGCTAGTGGGGGGGGTGCAGCCTGGAGCCTGACCCTGGCACCCAGTGGGAGGGCACAAACCAGAGAACAGCAGCAGGCGTGGGTCTAACAGCTCTCATCTCTCCTCACCCTGTAGAGCAAGCACAGAGACAGTGCTCCGTACGCTGAGTATGGCGGCTGGTACAAGGCCTGTAAGGTTAGCAGGTAAGAGGTGGTTCCTGGGCAGTTGTGGATGTCTGGGGGATGGGGAGGGCACCAGGGCTCCTGCTCACCTTCCATCAATTACTACAGCCCAACTGTGAACACCACTCTGAGGAACCTGGGAGCGCTGTACCGACGCCAGGGCAAGCTGGAGGCAGCTGAGACCTTGGAGGAGTGTGCAGTTCGCTCTCGGCGGCAGGTAACCCCCGAGGGACCTCCAGTGGAGGGAGCATTGTGGGGCTTGGGGTGGCAGGTCATGGCCCAGCATTTGGCTTGGGGTGTGGTGAGGGACTCTCCTGGGCCTTGCAACCTCTGATATCCTTGGTTTACATTCCCATGACACCAGAGCACCTTGGTGGTTGGGGTTGGATTTGTGCAGGGGCACACACTTGTGTGTGGGGGGGGTTGTGCATGTGTGTATGGACGGAGCAGATGTCAGTGTGTGTACATGGGCAGGAGATAGCGTAGCTCTTTGGATGCAGAAATACTGCAGCTGGGTTAGGGCAGGTTACTGGGCTTTGTCAGCTGCTGAGGAGATCTGCACTCACTGGGATGTTTTCTTGACACTAATTTTTTGTCCAGGGAACACACTAAGGATTTCTTAGAGTACCTCTCACCCTAAGCTCCTCTCAGTCCTCAAATAATAAAACAGGAGCTGTAAGCAGCTAGCACAAAGACTAAAGGACAGCAGAAACCTTCAGATACCAAAATGTGAAGAAGAAAAAGCTGTCAGCTTTGGGGTAGCAAGCCCTTGTCCCCCAGGGTGGTTTATGGCCTGGTGGGGGGCTCACTGAGCTGGGAACCTGTGATGGTTTCACTGGGCCAGCAGCCAACACAGCTGTTCACCCACTTCCCCCCTACCCCAGAGAATAGGGGAGAGGACTGGGGGCAAGGATTAGGAGGCTTGTAGGTTGAGATAAGAACAGTTTAATAATAGAAATAAAAGAAATAATAACATAACTAATAACATTAGTACTTTTGTGAATGTTCTTCTTATAACAAGTCTTGCACTGAAACCAAAACGCAGCTATTCTAACTACTGAGAAGAAAACTAAGTTCATCCTAGCAAAACCAGGACAGAACCCAAACAGGGACTGCTAAGTGCAGAACGGCATTCGGCTCCATCCTTCTTGTGCTGGAGAGTTTTGGCTGCGATGGGGCAGTGGGCAAGAGAGGGGATGGGACCAAGCACAGTGATGGCACAGCAGGTAGCCAGAGGGAAAGAACTCAGAAAGGCAAAACGTGGTGCTTCCTTTTCCCTTCCTATTTGCAGGGAATTGACCCGATCAACCAGACGAAGGTGGTGGAGATCCTGAAGGAGGGTGATGGCACGGAGAGACGTCGGAGCGTGGGGGGCAGCGTCAAGTACGAGAATGCCACAGACGGTAGCGAGGAAGTGAGTATGGGCGTGGAATGGAGCGGGGTAAGTACAAGACACCATCAAGAATGGCCTCAGCTGGCTGCCAGAGGGAAGGGACAGCCCGGCTCAGGGCTGTCCCCGCGTGGCCTGTCGTGGCATCCTTGTCTGCCTCTGTTCGTTCCCTGCACACTTCCTTCCCTTCTTTCTCTGTATGAGCCAGCCAGCCCACAAAGGTGCGTGTCTGGCCCTGACTTCTGGTGTACAAGCCAGATATCCCCAACTGAGGGCTGCTGCTTCCAGGGGGCTGCCAGGCCCTGGCAGTGCACAGCATGAGCTGGTCCTGGTCTGCCCTTAATCTTAGCCTTGCAACCTTATTAACATCTCTCCCTGCTGCTCCCCTCTCGAGGCCCTGGCTGAGAGCGCCAGCCTCATCTCAGGCCCACACAGCCTCTGTGAGTAACGTGGCTGGCTGTCCTGCACTGCACCACGGGTGACGCTGAGCCTGGGGAGGGTTGTGTGTGTCTGTGCCTGGTGTGTCTGCGATGAGTGACTGCAGGGCATGGCAGTAGTCGGCAGCCAGTGTTTTTGCTGTCCCCCTCTCCTGGTCTTACGCCCTCTGTGGGCTCTGGCCAAGCAGAGGTGGCAAAAGGGAGGTCCTTGCAGGGTGACAGGCCGGGATGATCTCTGGCAAAAGAGGCTGGTATTAGCTGAGGCACAGGCAGTGCGACCTGAGCCCATCTTTGCTTGCTCTGAGACTGAGGAGCACTTTGGTCACTAGTGCTGATTTTGGAGGAAGTTAGTGGCCCAGGTCTGGAGCAGGTGCCTTTTGTCTTCTGTGAGGAGGAGGATGGAGAGGAGGCATCAAGTGAGCATAGTGCTGGTGGGTGCTTGGCTCGAGGGCTGCTAGAGCTGTTAACCCTTATTATTCCTCCTGCAAACTCTAGTTGAGAGCATAGTGTAGCTGGGTACCCAGGGGTTGTTGCTGCCTGGCACAGGCGATGCACTGAGCACACAGTCTCCTTCGCTCCGCCCTCACGTCTGCTGTCGCTAACCCTTCCCTACCTGGCTCTGCTCCATCCCCACCTGCATGAGCTCCCTCCCTTCCTCCTTCCTCTTCCCTTGTTGCCATGACAGCCCCTCAGCACCCAAGCCTGAAGCCTGCTGGCTCTCTTGATTGTGGATTGTACCCAAGAGGTGGCTGGAGGGGACCTGGAGAGCAGAGCTCCAAGGGGACCTGTCAGCTCTGCCAGATGTGGGGCTGTCCTCTGTCCCAGCTCTTGGCATCAGGTGTGAAGAGGGTCCTAGCCCTGGCAAGGCACCAACCCTGGGCCCTTGCACTCCCTGTTAGTAGAGGGACTGGACAAGCACAGGGGGGAGGGCTGCAGGCTTGGAATAGGATCACCTGGTCCCTGTCCTGGCTGGTGTCTCTCTGCGGTTCCTCCTGGCCATGCTTGGTGTTGGGCGTTGGCTTTGCACTGGTGAAAGTCTGGGAGACCTTCCTGATGATCTCTGAGCTGATCATCCCCAGGCAAGCAGGCATGCCACCTGACCCAGCCAAGGGGGATAGTCCCTGCTCATATGGCCCTTCCCCAGGGGGCTTGGCAGGGCTTCCCTGGCCCAGCCAGCTGTAGGTAGCAGGTTTGAGGGCTAGCCCAGCACCCTGGGCTACTGCCACATGATGCTCTGTGCCTCTTCCAGCCTGCTGCACACATAGCCAGCCTCCTCTCCCCAGCCAGCAGCCCTGCACTGGGCTGAAGCTCCCCCAAAGAGGAGGCTGAGGCAGCTCCTGCTGCTTCTGTCTGTCACGACCAGTTGTTCCCTGTGCTGGTCTAGATACCTCGGATGTGCTGCCTCCGGGCAGTCTCTGCTGCCATCCCTTAGCTGTCAGCTGCTGCATGCAGGGCCATGGGAGCCCCAGGCTGCCAACAGCCTCTGTGCCCTGCTGCCAAGGGCAGCTCTGGAAGCACCCCAGTGTCTGGACGAGCTCCTTGCTGCCCAGGTAATTGGGCTGGGAGAGCAGAGATGGCACCAGCTCAGTGGTGCTGAGCCCTTGGCAGGCACCCACCCCATGGGTGCAGGAAGCCCAGGCTGTTCCTCCCTGAGCTAGCAGTTCCTGCTAGCCTGATAGAACATGCTGGCAAAGGTGCAAGTCCACTGTTTCAGCCTCACAAGACTCCCTCCCCGCCCAGATGCGGCCCATTGTCTCTGCATGCAGCCTGGGCCATGGCCCACCTGCTCCCTGGGTGACCTACAACCTCACGGCCTTGTGAATTGTGTCTTTCTCCTCTCTGTGCACTAGGCTTAAATGCCTCCCGAGACTCCCTCTTTCCCCTCCACCGCAATCACCTGGATGTTTGTGTTGTATCTTCCGACTTTTCCTCCACACCATCCCTCCTTCCTCGGCAAGAACTCCACGCCAGTCCCCCAACCCTCCCGGTGCACGAGGGCACCGCGACGCCTCCGGAGGAGTGCCTGGCCATGTGGCCCAGCTCCAGTCCCGTGGCCAGCAAGAGCAGGAAGAATCTGCGAGGAGCTGCCTGCTCCCCCATGCCAGGGCGACGGGCCCCCGTCCCCTTGCATGTCCCCACCCCCAGCCTGCCCTTGCACATCCCTGGGGACCAGGCCTGCGGGGAATTGTCTTCACTCCAGGCATGCCGACTCCACCGCCATTAGACATCCTCAACCCTCCTAGCTTGTTCCCTCCATCTCTGCAGATGCCAGGAGGGAGGCACGAAGATGGGGGGGCTGTTTTGGGACAGAGAGGCCTGGCCTTGCCAGGGCTGTCATGTGCCCCTTTGCTTTCTTCCCTGTAGGCTTGGCTGATGTTAGCGCCCTGTAGCAAACCTGCGCTGGCCACTGGTGAGCTGGGCTGTCCTGCAGCATGAGGCAGTCCCTGTCTTGCTGTCCTCCTCCCTGCTGAGCTCCACAACCCAGGGGCAGTGTGTGGGTCTCTCTGCAGGGGCACAGGAATGTAGAGTGGCCCATAGCTACTGGACATCCAAGATGAGGTGAGAGGGTGACAGCCAAGGGCCATGCACAGAACAGGGACCTGCCAGGGTAAGCATGTTTGATTGCAACCTCCTGACCTGATGCTGTGGTCAAGCTCCTCATCTGATGGCATTAAGGGGTGAATTGGCTCCCCATTGCTCCAGAGTCCCCAGGTGTGGCTGTTGAGAGAGGGAGAGGAAGGTGTGAAGCTGTTTGCTGTCACTTGGAGGTAGAGAAAAGGTAGGAGGAAAGCAGAATTTTTCTGCAAGGGGCCAGGCCCCAGGCCATTAGAAGTGGCCGAAATGGGGAATGGGCTGGTTTGGAGCAGAGTGGTTGGGAGAAAAAGGAGGTGCAAAGAGGGATGTGAGGAAAGGAAGGGCATTGGGGTGCTCTGAGCATGTGGGGGCAGATAGGATGGCTGGAGGGAGGTTTCCACAGGAGAAAAGACCAGGTTGCTCATGGAGGAGGGCAATTCTTGAACACAGGACCTGGCTTGCCAGGCATGGTCCCTGAGGTTGTGACTCTCTGGCTGTCCCCAGCCAAGTGGGTAGGAAATCTGTAACCCTGTCACTGCGAGGGAGACAGTGCTGACCCGGGGCACGTGTGGGGGTGACTCTGATGGGACTCCAGGCCTCCACAGGGTCTGGTGCTGTTGATCATTGCTGGGAAAGGGGAGGATCCCCCATGCCAGACCATCACTGCCCTGAGCCTTGCACCCTTGGGTGCACACCCTCATCGCACCTCCCTGACCATCCTACCTGGGAAAAAAGCTAGGGAGGCTGCAGCCAGCAGGACAGAGCCCAGAGGCCAGCGCAGGACTCCCCCTTATTTATTTAGGTAGATAGCTTCTCTCGTGGTAGTTATCTGGCAGGTTGTGATACTAAATGTGCTTGTGTCTGTCCGGGTCTGGCTTCCCCGCGGTGGCGCAGAGGCCTTGGGGCACGTGCATGCTGCTGCCCTGGGAGCTTGTGCTTGCTGTAAGGAGGTTTGTCCTGAGGACCATGAGGCTGAGTGCTCTAGGGCTGCACCTTCCCTGCCTCTCTGCCAGCGCTGCTCCACGCTCCTGGAGAGCGGCAAGTCCCCAGAGCAGGGTGCATTTGGGCCTCGGTGCCACCTGCCCCTGTGCTTTGCCAAGTCCTGGACCTGGTGCTGTAACAACCGTACCTCTGATTAAAGGCAGACAGACCCGAACCGCTGCCCTGTGCTTCTTTCCATGCTCTGTAGGGCAGCGCCGGTCAGCCCTGGGGTGGTGGGTGCAAATGCTGCTGCAGCAGGTGCCGGGGTGCTTGGTGTCTGTGTGTGTGCAGGGGGATGTGCTGCCCCCAGGGCACCTCTCCTAGGCTGAGCGTTGGAGGTGAGGGACCCAACTCCACTGTGCCTCTCCCAAACCTCCAACCTGGGGTTGCTGTTAACCTCAGCTCTGTAGCCATGTGTGGCCAGGCTGCACTGGGACATCTGAATTTGGGTCTTACCCTACAGGTGTTTCCATTAGCCAGAGACATACCCCATTGTGTCCCCCAGTTCTCAGCTCCATGTGCTGCCACGTCCTGCCCAAGTCCTCTGCCTCCATGCAGCAGGCAGGGTGGGAGCGTGCAGTGGAGAGAGGCTCAGTGGTGGAGCTGCTGCTTTTTCTTTGAGTGCTCTCATCCTGATGGGTGCAATGGGGTGGGGGCTCTGCGGTAAACCAAGCCCCATGAATGTTCTGGGTTAAAAATAACCCTGCAGAAAAGGGAGTGGGGAGAGAGGAGAGGCTATTTTTAACCCAGCATGCAGCAGCATTTGGTTCCGGTGTTGGTCTGCAGTCAGCCTGTATCATTGCAGCTGGGGAAATGGGGCTCCATCCTCCAGCCCCGACCCCAGAGTGTACCTCCTGGCTGGATCTTGCTGCCCTTGTACCGTGGTCCTGCTTCCCTGCCCCACTGTGTTCCCTTTTCCACCCCTGGCTTGTGTGCCTTGGCAAAAGGAGCAGTGCCTGGCATGGCAGTACCCTGTAGGTGACCCAGCCCAAGTCTGAGGGGGGGGCAAAAAGACACCCCACCACCCCTGTCTTTGCTAGTGCCACATCTTGATGGCCACCTCCTCCAAAACCTCCCTGGGATGCCTGGTGCAGGAGTTGAATTGTTTGCCTTGCTGATACTTTTGGTGCTCTCTGCATTCCTGGTGAGTGGGTCCCTTGCAGCAACAGCACATGGCTCCCAGTTTGGAAACCCTCCATCCTGATGAGAAAGTGAAAAGGTTCAAGGTACTTGGCTTATCCAAGGAAGGGATGAGATGAATACCAGGAGAAAGGTTTGCTGGTAGGAACAGTCCTGTTCAGCTGTTGGAGAGAGGTCTAGGGCTGGATCAACTTTGGGTAACTGGAGGGGTCAGCACGAGGGATGGGACTGGCCTAAGGCAGAGACCCTGCAGAGCTTCATGGACAGTCCTGGGGCAACTGCTGCTGCCAGCCTGGGCCACAGGGCATTTTGTTCACTTGGAGCAGCATGAAGGGGCTCCCACACGTGCTCGTAAGGAGCAGAGGGCTTTTGCAGTCCTTTCACCTCTGTTTTTTCTGCTCTGATGTGCCAGGGGCCATTGGGGTCAGGAGCAGGGAGGATGGCAGTTATCAGAGCAAACCTAACTCCACGTCAGCAGTGGTGCCACAGCCCTGGCCACGGGGGAAGAGCTGGGTGCCATGGTGGCACAGGGGCATGAGGTGGTGTCATGCTGGCAGCCTGGGCCTTGCACACGTGTGGTGCTCAACGCAGGAGATGGGCTAGAGCCTGTCAAGGGCTGAGTACCTTCCTGGGGGCTTTGGGGACATGTGGGAAGAAGTGGGCTGGGGAACCACATTCAGGGCTGGTTTTGGTCTTTGGGAAAAACGAGCAGCCTTAAAAAAAACCCTGCAAAGTGCCACCCTGGGGCAGCTAGTGGGGCTGGGCACAGCTGAAGTCAGGGGGACAAGGAGGGTGGTGCCTGCTTGGCATCAGAGTGTGGCCAAATGAATGCACCCCAGGTGGAACTGCCCAAATTGCTCAGTAGCCTCAAAGCTTATCATCTTGGGGGTGTTAGAGGTGGGACAAGGCTGTGTGTGCGCATGTCTGATGTGAGCGAGCCTGCAGGCCTGGCATGCAGGACCCAGATGTGCATCAGGATGAGTGCTGGATGGAGAGGAGGAATAGCAGTGGCAGGGTGAGGAAGGGTAAGGGGAGGGGGACACCAGTCTCCAGCCAGCAGCAAATGAGGAGGGAGTCCTTGAAATGAATGTCCTGGCAGCTCATCCTGGCCTGACAAAAGTACCCCCAAGCCTCAGGCTCCCATCAGGTTTTGGTGCTTCCCTGGCCACTGGGACCTCCTTGGTAGGTACTGCCTGAGCTGTTGCAGGTGAGGGAGCTATGCCATGTTTGAGCAGGGCTGTGGGGATCCCAGTGCCATTTGTGCTGGTGGCCTGGTGCAGATCAGCAGCTTGACTGGGTGCTGAGCTTGCACCCAGGAGGATCAGTCTGGATGAGTCAGGCCATGGTGAAGATCCCTGACTCCATGGTCATCATCTCCTATGGAGAGCCAGGGTGAGGGGGAGCCATGTAGTGAGCAGTAAGCCTGCTCTGAGCCAGGGCTAAATCTTCAGTGCACGCAGGCAAGAGGGTGTTTGGAGCCAAGCCTGGTCCTGGCCACTCACCTGCAGCTTGCCAGAGCCTGACTGGTGCCACTCAGCCATCGCCCCGGCTTGTGTCTCTGTGTCCAGGATGGCAGCGGCACCCTCCAGCGCAGCAGCTCCCTGGGGAAAATCCGGGATGTGATACGGAGGAGCAGTGAGATGTTGGTCAAGAAACTGCAGGGCAATGGTCCCCTGGAGCCCAGGAACACCAGGTAGGGACCAGGGCTGTGAGGGCCAGGCTGGGTGGGGGCTCTGCTACCTTGGGGGTTGGGGTCTCACCAGGTGCAACATGATCACACCTGCTCTCCTCTGCTTTCTTGTAGCATGAAACGAGCTGCATCATTAAATTACCTGCACAAGTCTAGTGATGCTTCATTTGAGGTAAGCACTGGGTGTGTGGTGGGGCTGGTGCAGGAATGGGTGCTGGGGTTGGGGGTGTATGGCTGTAGCTGGCTACAGGGGCTGTGGCCAGTGACGCAGGGGCACAACAGGCCCCACGTGTGGTGCCCGAGACCCCAGCGGCAGTGTTCATCCATGCTGCTGTGTGGGGATGGAGCTACTCTGC